GGTACCGGGAACCGAACTCACGACCTTGCGCTTGCCAGGCAGGCGCTTTTGCCGCTGAGCTAAATCCCCAGCCCCCAACACTTCATTCTTAATGGCTGTACAGATCTTATTTTTATAACAGCTGAAGCCATGGCTCAGTTTATACATTAAATTTCATATGAATTAAAACAGTTGTTAAATCTAATTTTAAAAAAATTCAAATTATTGCCCTTCCAAGGAAACATTTATATATATGATGGCATGAAAGTTAAATCATGTGAATCCACAATTATGCAAGCAAAATTACTATTGAAATATTACACTTAACATTATTAAATATGTGCAATTATATGCCTATCAATTTTTTTAAAAGTTTAGGGAGACAGAAATGCTAACTACTCTGATTTGATCATTACACTTTTATACATACATCATTAAACACAGTATACCCTAAATATGTATAACTAAAATCATTTGCAAAAGAAAATTATATTTATGCGATTTGTATTTCTTTGACCATTAATCAACAATATCTTTCTATTTGTTAATTTTCTTGTAACCATCTTCTCTTACATGTTTATAGATATATGTTAAAGAGCTATTATATTCATCTGCTATATTTATACTAAATATTTTCTCCAACTTATGGTGTTTTTTATAGTTATTATTTTAATTGTACATATTTATTTAGAACAGTGTGATGACTTGATATATGCATACAATTCTATGTAATGATCATATCAGAGTAGTTAGTATTTGCACCTCCTTAAATTATTTTCTACATTTTTCACTGACACATAACAATGACAGATATTTATGAAGTATAGTATGATCATTTTCTTATTAAATTAGCAAAACAAAAATATTTAAAAACTAAATTTTAAGTGTATTATCAAATTAATTTTTTAAAAATAGGAACAGGGATTGGGGATTTAGCTCAGCGGCACAGCGCCTGCCTGGCAAGCAAGAGGTCATGAGTTCAATTCCCAGTACCGGAAAAAAACCAAAGAAAAAAGAAAAATAAGAACAGAAAGAGTTAATTTTTAAAATCAGTTTCAGTTGTAGAATTCTAGGAATAAGTCAACATTTCTGACATGCTGACATTAATTTAATAAAATGTTTACAGGATACGTGGAGCTTCATCCTATATAAGTAAGTATATACACAATGCCCAAGCTAAACAAATGTTCACTAGGTCAATAAAGATGCAGTCTAGTACTATGACAGTAATACTACTTTCATAGAACTTTCATTGCTAAGATTCTAAAAAAACAAACATTTTCTAGTTTTAAAATGAAATTAACCCAAGATTAAGTCCAAATTTACAGTTTAACAACATACCCTAGTTGACTGATATCCAAAGTATGAGTAGATGTTCCAAAAACAGGTACTTTCCCCATGATGAACATCATGATTTCTGACCTTTGATAGTCTGGTAGGTTGCTTCCAAAAAATCCTATAAAATATTAAGATAAATTTTACAAAAGTTCATTTTTCCAAACAACATAAGATTATATTTTTAACAAAAACTTTCAGTATGTGGTAAAAGAATATAAACTATATGTAACACTAAAGCTTTATTTTATCTTTCTAAAATTATATGTAAGGTATGTTTAATGACTAATATTTAGATAAAATAGTATCTGAATGTATTTAGATAAAATAGTATCTAAATAAATCATCAGGTTGAGTTGATCAGAGTTTTACAAAAAGGAAAAAAAAACTACAAATATTTCTGATGGAAGTCTTATTCATGTATTTTGAATCCAAAATTATTGTTCTGGTAAGGAAATCAGTGAACAGGCCACATTTTGTCTGATGTAGAAATCAACAATGGGGCCACTACTCTGGGTTCTCAGTATTACCCCAAAATTTTAGGAGGTCTTTATAACGAGCCAGGTTCACAGTTCAGACCTATGAATTAATTAAACATACATGATTCACCAGATGTAAAACAAAACAAAAACAAAAGCATTTAACTTATTTATTTGTAATTTTTCTTATGTACTCTTGGGTTTTGATAATACTTTAAACTTATCTAAGGGGCTGGGGATTTAGCTCAGCGGCAAAAAGCGCCTGCCTGGCAAGCGCAAGGTCGTGAGTTCGGTTCCCGGTACCGGAGAAAAACCAAAAAAAAAAACAAAAAAAAAACTTATCTAACGCAGCTTTTGATAGTTTACTTCCTGGTTGTAAAATATTTGCAAATTTATCATTTACTCACACTTTAAACTTTTCTCATTTCTCTGAAAGTCAGGTATCAAATTGCAGCTGTTTCTGTTCCTTGTAAAAATTTCAACAAAACTCTTATAAAAATTTCTGGATCTTTAATATGTATGGCTATACTGGCTTTTCAATTTAATTCCTCAGCTTCTATTGTTGCACCTAAAAATTAATTTACTCAAAACCAGATATTCTATTCATCATTATAATCGGGCTTAAAGGTAAAAGACTTCCAAAAACCACATATTGTAGCAACCAAAACTCTCATAATCTTAACTTTGTCTGTTTAAAGTATATTATTCTAGGTAACATTAAGGAGTACATATTTGAGGGAATGAGCTATTCAAGTTAGTCATCGCCATTAAGACATAAAGTAGGACGCACTTCTGCTTAATACAGACCCTACACAAGCATTGCCTAAAGCATTAACAAGTTCCATCATACCTCCCTGTATGCAATAACACTTCTATCATTACTTTATGGCATACTTCATGCCTTTCAAAAGTGTGGAACAGATTCATCTAACCTTTGGGCACATTAGAATTACCTGTAGAGCTTTTAAAGTGCTTGTGTTCAGATTGTACACCAAAGTAAGTTAGAATTTTTGGGTGAATATCCAAGCATGAGTATATTTTTAAGATCCTGAGGTAATTTCAATGGACAGCAGAGGTTAAGAACCAGTGCCCTGAAGAAAAGTATCATTTTTTTTCTCTCCAAAATACATGGTCGACAGGGTATAGCATTATGTTAATTAGATATTTAAAAATTCACACAACTGAAAATAATTATAGTAGGAACTATTTCATGCTTCGCAATTTATTTTTTTAAATTAAAGCTGGGTGGGAAGTCTCCAACTGGATCTCTTGGGTAGTCTTGAAAAGCTTCTATCACAAGAGCTTCTCTTCTCTATCACAAGAGCTTCTCAACTCTTTCACATTTAGATTATTGAATAAAACTGTTCATGGGCACAGAAAGTACAGCACAGTAGGGAGATATGTTATTGATCAGCCTTAAAACTTAAAAGGGCAAAAGCTACAACAGTCCTGTGCATGGCTCACCACATGCACGTCCATATGATTCAACAACTAACTACCACTGAGAAATTCTAAAGAAAGAAAAAAATAAAAAAATAAAGGATTGCAGAGGTAAATTTTTAAAAAGGTATTTTACTCACTGTGCCATACTTTTCTTTCACCTTTCAATTTTCACATTATCATATTATTCTGAATGTTACATCACAGAAATACTGCTTGAGTATGCCATATATGTTACACAGTGAAATACTTGAGAAACAATATATTAAATACAGTACTCTAGAGTAAAACAGTAATATTCAACTAATTAGAAATCACTAAAGCAATTTAAACTAATTCTGTGAAAATGAAATTTGCTGATCTGATCTGATTTTAGAATACCACAAAAATTCCACAAATAATCCAAATAAGGGTAAGAATCACCATAGAAGCTAGTTTTACTATACACTGACACTGTTTTGAGAAATAACTAAAATGTCTCAGCTTCACTGAGAATCCATGGTAAGGTTGGACTTTAGCAAGTGTCTGCAGTAAGACACCCCTGAGGCCCTCTCCTCAGGAGGACAAAGGCTCACAAGGTGCAACAGAGGTACTACAGCAAGCAGATTAAGTACTTCCATAAGGAATAGCCATGAGCATCAATCACAAAGTTCTTGGCAAAGGACCTGGAAACCTGGTGTGTGCAAATGTTCAACAAAAAAGAGTTGAATGCAGATGTACAATATGTGTGTGAATATCCATAAAGCTTTAGAAATAAGATGACAAGAAAAAATTGGTATTAATTGGACTATTATAAAAAAGTAGCCCACAGTGGGAAATTATGCAGATAGAAGAGATAAACTGAGGTCCAGAATAAATTTATTATTCATGGAAACTATTAAATTAGAAACTACTAAACTCCAGGAATATATTCTGATGTTGAAATTATTACAGCAGTCATGTAGTTACATTTTGAAGAAAACTGCGAGAGGAAGGTGAGAATGCAGAAATAGCTCATATGCTTTAAGTTGTATGTATTTATGTATATATGTATTTATTCGTTTATTTTTTGTTTTTTTTGAGACAGGGTCTCTCTTTATAGTTCAGGCTGGCCTCAAACTCACAATGATCCTCCTGCCTCAGCTTCTCGAGTGCTGGGTTTACAGGCATGAACCACAACCTTGGCTTTACCATACACTATATACTTGGTTTTTTTATACACTTGGTTTTACTATACACTTGGTTTTACTATACACTGAATTGTACTTGCATAATCAGATATAAATAGCTTTTAAAATTTTCTTTTTATTCTATTCTTATTCTATTTGTACTGGAGACTGAACCCAAGGCCTTCATCCTGAGCTTCATCTCAGCCCTTTTTGAATTTTTTCTTTGATACAGGGTCTTGCCAAGTCATTGAATTGCCCAGGCCTGGTTCAATGTCCCCCAAAACGCTGAGATCACAGGTGTGCACCACTATGCCTGGCCCCATGACTGTTTTTTAAAAGGAAGCTCCTCAATTCACCCTATGTACTTGGACCACCGGGATAAGAGGTAGTAGGGGTAAGGGAGAACGAATGATACTACAGCCCAGAAATCTGCCTCTGGATTTTGTACTCTAACACCATTCACAGGAAACACAGACCCTTGAAGAAATAACTGATTCCATATAAGGGCAGGAAGTGGAAAATTTGCCTAGTGTAAAACAGTACTCAAAAAAAAGTGTGTGGGGGAGTGGATGTTATATAAACAAAGAAGGCATGTAAAAGGACTCCTATTGGCCAAATATGGAGAAATTTAAGCACCAAAATAATTAAGTACATTAATAAATTATAACCATAAAATATAAACTCATATACCTATAATAATGAGATAAATACATACATTTCCACATGATATAAAGGCAGAAAGGGGGGCTCCTGCTTACAGTCGAGCACTGAGTGTTTGCTGGTAGTTGAGAAAGGAATGAAGTTGCATAACCATCATTTTGTAGACATCAGGGTAAAGAATGGTTGAAACAAGAATTATGAATGGATGCAAAATATGCAGGGATGTTTGGCAGAAGAGCAGAATATGTGCATGGAGTAAGTATCTTCTTAGACTGCTTATTATTAGCAATGGGAAAAACTGAAATTGGTAACAGCCATAAAAAAACACCACCTTGATGTCATCAAAACTAACACCAGCAATGAGGAGAACATGTTTACTGTATACCGCTGGATATGCTGCTCCGAAGAGCATGCCACCTGTGTGGCATTCTAACCAGAAATACCTAAGCTGAATGTAATCAGGAGGAAACACCAGACAAAACCAAATGGGAAAGTTTCCTTAATAAAAAATTATAAAAAAAAGAGATGGACTTTTCTCTTAAGGAATGCCCATGTCATCAAGGAAATGCTCCAGAGTAATGGAACTAAAGAAATACTGCAGCTATGCACAATATATGATCCTAGAGAGGATCCTACTTCCAAAGGAAAAAATGCTGCAAAGGAGACTACTGAGCAATTGACAAAACTGAGATGTGGAAGGCTGATTAAAGTACAGTAACAATGTTATGTTTTACTCATTTTGTTAACTTTACTCCACCTACGTAAAAAATATATTTATTCTGTGGAAAAATACAGTGAAGAATCCAGTGGTAATTGGCCATAATATATGCAACTTATTATTTCCAGTGGTTCAGGAAAAAGTATACATTTATTTTACACACACACACAGGAGGAGAAGGGTGGAGAGCAAATGGAAAAGTAAATGGCATAAAATGTTAAAAACAGATACATCTGAGTAAAGGATATATGGCATTCTTTGTCCTATTCTTATGCTTGTTTTTTCCAAATATCCAATTTTTAGAAGTCTCAGAAATCACTGACCTTTGAAAAAAGTACTATATATGAAGCACATTATGGGAGAACTTTATAAACTCACTGTTGTACATGACAATTTTGAAAAGTGAAACACACTTACCTATTGTTTGGATGATAGCATTCTGCACAATCTTCTCATCATTATCTTTAGGACCTGTGTTTACACTGACATTGGTTACAGATCCCGCATGCAAGTCATTTGCTTCAAATTCAACACTCAGACGCAAATGTTTCAGGAGGGTATTGAAGACTTCCAGCACAGTAGGTCCTGTGAAGGACGATCTATGTGAGCAGACATATTGCCAAGTAATGTGTATACTCAAAAGTAATTTGCAGATTTCAACACATTTTTTACTTACTTTCTAAACAGCCAAAAATATATAATTTGTGAACTTTTTTTAAAAAATGTGAATAAATAAGAAAATGTCCTAGTTATGCCAACAACCACCTACTGGGTATCTATGAGCACCTTGCTCTTTCAATCTCTGGTAGAATCCATCCAAAATGTGTATACACCAATAAGGATTATCAAGACTTCCTATCTAATTATGTCCACTCTAAATAATATGTACTGTGACAATATTTAGTTAAGACTGATGGGTCAGAATCCATGACATTACAATACAGCTCTCTGTGGCATAGATTTATTTTGCATCTCCTGAGACTAAATGAAGAAGAATTTCTTTCAATTATGGGACAGCAAACTAATCAATTGCAGGTAAACTGACTCATTCCCTGCTTTCTGTTCTATGAACAGCTCACACAGAATACTATTACCACATTATCACACTCATTGCCACATTTGTGTATCTTAATTAGGGCTCTCATTTCTGTCTCCTAGACTCAAACACAAGCTTCTCTACACAGGTAGCTATGGAAAACACTTCTTTGAGGGGCTGGGGATTTAGCTCAGCGGCAAAAAGCGCCTGCCTGGCAAGCGCAACGTCGTGAGTTCGGTTCCTGGTACCGGAGAAAAACCAAAAAAAAAAAAAAAAAAAAAAAAAAGAAAACACTTCTTTGAATGAACTGAACCTCACAAACAGTACCCTGCACATGTTACACATCAATAAGTGGGATGATCCAATATATTATCAGTGTTTTATTTCATACTTCAAATTAAGTAGCTAGTCAACCCAATAACTTGCTTTCATATTTTTAAGATCATTTGTAAAGTAAATAACAGAAGGTCAATATCTAATGTCCACCCTTACTTAACATTGAAAGAATATTTCTCCTGGGGAGGTTAGGTCACTGAAGAGGGTAAGAGTTTGTCCATGTCACTTGCAGTTGGGTCTGTGCCCACTACAAAGCAAGGATTCCACCAGGCCCTGATGCAAACCAGCTGTCTTCCCTTAGGGCAGGCTTGTTCCAGCTAAATCCTTCCCTGCTGGAGACCTTTACCACCTGACGTGAAGGTGCACCTTCTGGACAATCCACGCAGCTAGCTGAGGAGCAATGAGTCCCACACCAGCACCTTTAAACCAAAAAGGATACACGGAAGTGGAATCATTCAGGTCCTACCAGAATAATGTTACCAAATAGACCCCCAGAAATGGGGAGAATTAGCTGTGAAGCAAAGGGCACTCTACATCTACTCTAGAAGAGTCTGAAGACCAGTTTCAAAAGAAACTAATCCACAAGTAATTTAATTGCCCATCAGAACAAATTCCAACACATTTCAAATACTATCTTGCATTCAACAGTGAAAGAACATTTCAAGGTCCTACATCCAATCCAAGTTTGCTAGACTTCTAGGAAACAAAAAAAGTCACATAATCAAAGCGGACGTCAGTCAACAGAATAAGACCCCAAAATATAAAAGATGAGAGTTATCAAAAAGGTGGATGCAGGTATTGTAAGTGTGTTTGATATGCTGAAAGATTTAAAAGAAACATGAATAATGAGGAGAGACAAGCAAACAAATGTAACATCTGAAAATATGACTCCACTAAATGGTGTTTAGTCAGACAGCCCAGTGGAAAAGAACCATGATATGAATCCAAAACACAAGAGTGAGAAGGAAGGAAGGCAGACTACTCAAAGATATAGAGGTTGAAGATTTGACAAAATTGATAAAAACCAGATCCAGGAAGCTTAGCAAGCCCCAGCCAGCAGAATAAGCAATGAAGAGTGAAGATCACACCAATGTGCACTGTCACAAAACTGCTGGATGCCTGCAATAAGGAGAAGAGGCTTGGGAGTCGCCAGAGGATGAGGCACAGTACATTACAGGGGAATAAAGATAAGGATTTCCACAAACTTCTTGTCAGAAATTATGCAAACCATATGACAATCAAACAGTATCTCTTCTATGCTAGGAGGAGAAAGAAAAAGAAAAGCTGTCAGCCTGAAATTCTCTATCCAGCATGAAAGCAAAAGCTCTCAGATGAGCAAAAGCTGAAGGAATTTCTCTTCCACAGACTTTCACTATCAGAAACATTCTTCATGAGCTCTTCCGACAGGAGGAACCCAGATATAACCTGAACCTGTGCAAGACACGAAACCTGCCATATCTGCTAACTACACAGGCCCACATGTGACATTTTTTTATTTTTAATTTCCATCAAAGGTAACTGTGTAAAGCAAAATAATAATGTATTATGAGATTTATATTTGTAAATGTAAAATTAAAACACTAGTGTAAAGAAAGGGAAAAAAATTAAGAGTATTTCATTAGCTGTTTTTCACTTTGACTTTGCAACAAAGAAACCACAACAGACTCTCCCAGCTTCTCTGTTTCCACTGTACACGCTTGTTCTAATCACATGTAGATGAAATTCGATGCACGATCTGTCTCTTCACCTTAATACCTTGACAACTGTCACTATCAAGTCTCATTAACTCCACACTCTCATTCCTATGCTGATATCCAAGGGCAAGGTCTTCCCTTACTGCCAGCAGTAACAGGAGGTTATTTCTAATGAGTTCTACATTTTGCTGCCAGATGGATTATTTTACATCCCAGGTCAACTGGAGAATTTCTATAATCTGGCTACCATTTATCTTTAAAGCCACTTATGACTTCTTCCTAATTAACACCACACATTCTAGAAAAATGGACCACATAATACTTGCTCATGCTAATCTACTTCCCCTCTCTTTTCTGATCACTGTCTTTTCTCATATGTGACTGAATCTGCTTTGTATTAAAAAATAAAGTTTAGCTGCACGTAAACTACAAGTTGAGTATCAGCTGCAAAATGAAGGCACTGATATATATTTTTAGTGCTCCTACAGTTTGATTGTGGGATCTCCCATTCATGGCATCATGTAGATATGCAAAATGTTTCAGATTATGGAGCATTTCAAATTTTAGATTTTGGGGTTAATATGTTCAACTTGGATCACTTTTTTATGTGTATTCTCCAATTTTCAATATATATATGAAGATATGATATCTTCATTATTTTAGTTTGTTTTTGTTTTTGTTTTTTTCCAGTACTGGGAATTGAACTCACAACCTCACGCTTGCCAGGCAGGTGCTGTGCCACTGAGCTAAATCCCCAGCCCAAAAGATCTTCATTAGAAGAAAAAAAGAGAGATTGATATAGAAATGTTTTACTAGCACTAAATATAAGAGAATAATCACATGAGCACAGAATTTCAAGACAAACTATATTACATTTAAAAATGCAAACAGTTTTCAAGATTATTTCATACACTGCTATACTAATGCAAAATACATTTGAAGCAGAGTAACGCAACTTTTTCTATTTTACCGGCACTCACCTATGGAACCTTTAGCAGCAATGGCGACAGCCTCTAACAGAACTTGAATAATACCTGCTCGAACCCGTGGAGAATCTTTCTTACGAGCATCAAGGTGTCCTAGAATCTCCTGGATCACATGGTGAGAATACTGAGCCTAAAGGAAACAAGACAGTAGAAATCTGTATGAACAAGTATATATATTCCAGAATAACTGGTAAGAATGGAAATCCATGTGACAGCTCGATGTCCAATCACTCAAGACTAGTACTTACAAGGTAAGATGCAGCCATTTAAAGCCATTCTTTTGAAGAATAAGCAGGATACTGGGAAACATATATGATACTCAGTGAAAAAAGCAAATTACAAGATACCATCATGTTTTTTTCTTTTTGTTTTGTGGTGCTGGGTAACTACAAGGTCTTGCTATGCTATGCAAGTGCTCTACCACTTAGCTACATTCCTAGCCCCTCAACTTGTTTTTAAAAGGTAAGTAAGACTAGAATTATATGTGTCTAAATATTAACACTGGTTACTTTTATTTTGTTTGTTTTTTTGGTGACAGGGTTTCGCTATGTAGCCCAGGCAGTCCTCAAACTGTAATGATCCTTCTGCCTCAGCCTCCGGAGCGTTGGTCACTTTTGACAGACAGCAAGACTTAAAAATTCTTATTCTGATATTTCTCTGTAACTTCACAAAAAAACATTTAATACACTCTATAACTTGACAGTAAATCAAAACATCATTTAAAAAACAGAGTATGACATTTATAGGACTTCTCCTTTACCCAAACTAGATATATTCTATTTATTACAGATACATAACAATGCTAAACTGGGCAGACATCACATAATCAATAGCCACTATTCAAAGGAAAATCTTCTCAGCACATAATGGACAAAATTTAAATCAAGTGATTCACAATGTACAAAGACAATTTTATCACATACAGATGAATGTGATCAATTATGGTGAATGATATTGGGACCTAAAATTAAAAAAAAAAAAAAACACTGTCAGAAAAATGTTTAACTTTGATGAACATTTTTTTCTTTTTAAACACAGTAACAAGGCCTTTTTTTAAAAAAAACCTACACCTGTCTGTGAGCTAGTTAACCTTTCTCTTCTTTGAAATAGGTGGTTTTTATATTAAGAAGCTGTGCCCTATAATGGCTACTCTGCTCAAAAGTAAGAAATTTCCTTCCATTTCTATTGATATAATACATTTCATGTACGGGTATTTCTGGCATTTCTGTCATAACATATGTACTTTCATAATAACCCAAAGCAGATATTAAGTCTGTGTTTTCATCTTTGCTTTAAAGTTATGTTAAAATAGAAGAATGTTAGACACACTAACCTGAAACTGCATTTCTTGCCCAGGAAGCTGCATGCTTCTCACATGTGAACCTTACACAATTAGAGTCTGTCTTACCAGGAAAGTAGCTGCTTGATTTATTGTTCAATAGGAGGATTCAGAGTGCATGGGGTCAGTATTAAAAACTATATAACATAGGGCTATCCTACACAAACCAGGGCACATGATCACTTTGCTCATAAGGAATTAGTTATTATCATGTCTACAAAACAAGAAATAGAATGAATGGAATGAAACTGGAGAGATGTTATACTTTGTATTCTACATTTAAGTCAGATTTATCCAGAGTCCTTTGTCTATGGCAAAGTCACTGCAACACAAACTTTAAGGCAATATTAATAAGATTAATAGCTTTAATTAAGAAGCAACATCATACAGCAGCTAACTATTAGCTTACTGGAGTTAGACTTGCTCACGTTCTAGTTCTGGCTTCCTTGCTTAATCGCCAAACAGTTCAAAGCTTAAGAGATAGTTAGTTAACATCTTGGCAACTGAGGATCCCTCACCTACATTATTTATTCAAACAATAACAATGGTTTTATCATGGGATTTTTGAGATGATCATTTGCACAAAGCACCAAAATTCTATTATATTACAAGTGTCCCATAAATACTAGATATTGATAACTCCTCAATTGGTGACACTTTGACTAATATAATACTGTAATACGAAACATAACAATAATGATGACAAAAGACTTCTCATTCACAAGTAAACAGATGCCAGGCATTCTTCTGAGCACTTTTTTATGGATTACTCATACATACATAAGTAGCACTAGGAAAAAGGTTCAACTCAATTATTCTGTGCAGTTCACAGTACAGGTAAGGCAGACTGCAGTAACTTTCTCAAGGTTATGCAGAAACTCCAAAGAAGGGCCAAGTGAATCCTAGCCTGATCTCAGAGCCCTGCTCTTAATCATATCTTATTACTTTCAACAAATCAATTTAGGAAAAAAAAAAAAAAGCAAGACATTTCCCCTTTACCACAAATACCCTACCATACTCGGAACTAGTCTACACAATCCCTTAAGGATACAAATCATGTCCATGTCTGGCTTGTTTTAAGAGAGACTGAAATAGTACCTAGTAAAGGAGACCTACATTAATGTTATGACTCATACTTGGCATCTGTATGTAAAGGACAATGTGAACAATCCAATCTATTGGAAGGTTTAATTGTACCAGGGTAGTCTTTTGGTGCATACTACCACTTAATTAGTGATCAGTGGACTTTACACAATATATGTTGTAAGTAAACTTCTTTCTAAAGCAAAGTTGTAAACCAGAGGTACTTTTGTGAACATTATATAAAAAAATTACTGATTTTTAAGTTTTTTCAACTTTGTAATTTACTATTTATTAACTTATTTTTTGTAAAAAGATAATTTTTTTTCCAGTTCCAGGGTTGAATCCAAGGCCTCGCACATTACAGGAAAATGCTCTACCACTGAGCAACACACCCAGCCCTTATGATTTTGAGACAAAGACTCAATAAGTTACCTAGGCTGTCCCCAAATTTGCAATCCTCCTCCTCAGCCTCCTGAGTAGTTGGGACACAGATGTGTGTCACTGTACCCTACAGGTAGAGAACAATTTTATCTAATAACTAAATCTTAATGAAGGAGGGTAAATGATGAAAAAGGCTGGAAAAGACCAGAAGAAAAAGCTTAGATTATGTCCATAGATTGTAAAGACCTACTTCTTACCCACTAAATTAGTTTTAAATTGAAAAAAAAATTATCTTTATCTAAACTAGCCTTACAATAACTATCATTTATTACAAATCTACTTTATGAAACACTTGTGCTATCAACCTTATCTTAATGGTTAATTTAGACCATCAACTTTGGAACAAAATAATCAGAAATTTTCAAGTTCAGACTTTATTGACCCTTGTATCCATGAGTAAATTAGTTACTCTTTAAAGGCTAATTCTCTGACCCATGAAATGGGAATAACAAAATCCAATTTACAGGGTAAGTAAATAAAACATGTAAGATTATTAGCACAGTCATGGGGCACAATCAGCTCTTGATAAATGGTAGCATCTAAGTGAATGTGTAAACAAATCATTTACTGCACATATTAAAAATTTTCCAGAGATGAGGAAAATGGAGCTCAGAGAACTTACATAAATCAAGTTTATATAACTAGTAAATAGTACATCCAAATGCAAATACTGATATGATTTAAATTAGTATCTGTGCTGCTTCTGTGAACTTTATCTCCTTTAAAGTATGATGACTTTTTAAAGAATTAAAAATTGAAATGGTGTTAAAAAGAACTGAAATGCCTCTTGACTTAAGAGCTAATCAGGTTTGCTCAAGTTTTGACAGGCCTGTGGAGGGGTGGGAGGTGGCCCTCTGCAGTAGGTAAGTGTTTCATTATTAAGGTTCCATAAAGACCAAAGAGTGAATACAGGTATTACCCCATAGTGAATGTTAGCTACTATTAGGCACTGTATGCTACCACAATAAATACGAATTCCAATACTAGCCCATCAGCGTGAACACAGATGTATTAAGTAAGCATACAATAAAGAGCCTCACCATTAAATTATTCAGTTCTTTGTATGAGGTATTTTTCATCTTGACAAATAAGAAAATTATTGGTAATACAAACAAATGGAGACAAAACAGCTAAATTAAAAGCAAGTTTTATAACCTACAGTTTTTCATGTCTCTGATGTGTTTATCTATACAGAACCAAAATTGCTTATATAATAGTTAAATAAATCTTACCTGAATAGAATACATTATAATTTTAAAGCAGTGAACTGCAAATTCATTAGGGTCCCACAGTTTGTGATGATCTAAATGCCTGTAAATAACAAGCAAAAATTACTTTTGTATTTTCTTCCTTTAGAGTCAACAGTATGTAAACTTAACAAAAAATTATCTAAAACCAGGGTTACTATGCCCAGAAGTAATACATTTTTCCCTCAACTGTCAAAACTTGTCATAATTACAACAACAAAATACTGCACTGTATACAAGACTATAAATAAACACCTTGACGAAGCGGCCAGAGAGGAGGAAAGGCCCTCCTCCAAGACCACTGTGGCAAGCACATGGGGAGGTGAGTGCACAGGGAAGCCAGCAGCAGTGCTGGCCGTGTCTGCCCATCTCCAGGGCCTAGTGCTAGTGATCTCAAAGGTCACACACACAGGAGGCCAGAGACAAAGCTTTAGGGTGGTGATACCAAGAAAGAAAAAACCCCAAGGTTTCTAAGCTCTCTACAGCATCTCAGCCACCAAGATCCACGCTTTTGGGGGCCTAAGATCTTGCAAATAACAAGCATTGTAGGAATTCATAAGCATACTATGTTATGGGAATCACTGTCCTAGATTATATACACAATTTACTATTTATAAAATCTTTGCAAGTGGGTTAGGGAGTTTCACTGAAGGTTCACTGATACAGGGTAAAGAACAAAAAGTAGAGCTACAAACTAAATTGGCCGAGATGTCTGAAAAAAATTTTTTTTGACTTAAGCAATTCTAAAACAAAAACTGACAACACATTATAGTTTGAATAAAAATATTTTAATTCCTTGTAGTTATTTTCTAAACCTTCTTGCTTAGAATTTTAATAAAAAACTACTAACATACTGACCCTGGTTCAAAGCCTATCCTATATAGCTCTAGCTGATTAACAATTTCTAGGGGCAATTCTGTCCTTTTCACAATGTGGAGATAAGATCTTCCTAATTAGGCACAGGCTATTCATCACAAAATGTTAATCTAAGCATTTTCTTTTTATCTGATATTAATTGCTTAACTATACCAGTGTTGATTAGAATTGTAGTATCTAAAATGTCTGTCTAATCAATTGTATTCTTTACTACATCAAGTAACAATAAAAAAGCCTATCTCAATGTTGAACAAAAACATTCTATACAAATCCTATACAACTCTATATACAAACATTCTACACAAGGCTATACAAACATTTCCATGGCAAGTTTTTTTTCTTTTCTTTGGTATTGGGAATTGAACCTGGGTCTTTTCCCACTGAGCTTCATCACTACCCTTTTCTAAAAACATTTTTATTTTGAGACAGTCTTAGGAAAACACTAAATTGTCAGCTGGACTCAAACTGCCTCAGGTTCCCAGAGTACTGGAATTATAGGTATGTATCACCATACCCAGCTCTTCAACAGTTTTTGATACCTATTTCTATCTACTTCAAAAGATAACATCCTCAAATTCTCAAATTAGATGAATTCTTTGTTTTTAACTACTAAATCATTTTTTTGCCTTTTCTTGTAATTCATACCATAACTACTGTGCATATCAATCACCCATCAAGTTTATTATTCATTATATACTTGGTACTTTAACTTGCAGAGAACATTTAGCTTGTAATTAACTATGTAGTTAATATATAATTACATAATATTTAATTAACACTTAATTTACTGCACAATCAGATTTATGTTCAGTAAGTTCCACACAGAAATAATGCCCACTTCCAGTTACTAAACTCAAGTAGAGTTAACCTTGTTATCTTCTAGGTTAGCCTTTTAGATTTTTAAGACCTCATAGATTACCTCTCAATAAGAGTTTTAAAATAAAAATAAATTCTGACATTAAATTAGTATAGTTCAGCATTAGAAAATAAAACTGCCTTCAATATATTAACATAATTGGGGTTATTTTTAGTGGCATATTCTTAAGTCCAGACAGTCTTTAGGTAATAGATCTCAACATTGGGCAGGGAGGCAGAAGGGGATCATAGATACCTCCAGAGATCTAGTGGTTCTCTGACTTTTAATAAAATTTTGTGCTGTATGGATTCTTGAACCTAATGTTCAAATTTGAGCCCTAGGGTAAAAACATCCATCCTAAATAAAGAATTTGGGACGCTGATATTCAGAATATTTTATACATGCTAAATCTGTAACTGCAGTAGGAACGGGGAAAGGATATGGTAAATTTAAACAAAAGAAGGAATAGCAAAAAAGTTCAGAAACTGCACTGAATTATGTATAATAGATCTATTATCCGATAATTGAGAAACACAAGACTTGACAAGGTTTGAGACAGAATATTTATGTGAAGAAACCCAAAGCTTATACATGTATTTCACCCAGAGGAGAGAATATAAGGACCAATGAGATACACAATGCTCTGGTTCCAATTATTCCCTGGTAAAGACGAAATTTAGTCAGAGAAATAAACATGATCTAAGGCAGCCCACCCATAGAAAAAAGAAAGTCAAGAAACAGAAACCAGCAAACAGAAGGAAGTGACCACAGAAGTTTAAAACAAGATAGTTGGACACTGTTTTAATATTTTACTGCATTTCAAGGTCTGTACCAAGATATACAAGTTCAATGATGCACACAGTATTATGCAGACTACTTTAAAGAAAAAAAAAAATGGTCAAACTAGTGATCAAATATACAATATCTAACCTACCCCTATGCTACTTCCACAGTTAGGCTGTTCCCAATAGTAACTTGCTCATACAAGTAAAAAAATTACTTATCTTCTATATGAATATAAATATACAATTAATACAGCAAAATCACAAATAACCAGAAAAACGCCAATGACTTACGCAAAAACTGGTCTGACAGCATTATTCATATTCCCAAAAGTCGCTCGACCCAGCAGTTCTCTGAAACAGTTCTCAGCCAGCACTGAGGGATTCTCTTCTTTGTCAGCTGTAGAAGGAGAAGAAGGAGGGCCAATGCGGCTATAAAAGAAATAAAACTAATTTAAGAACTCAAATATTAGTTTCAATGGTTATATTTTTCAGAAATGTTAAAATTCCATTTGTATCCTCAAGTAACTCTAAAACTTAATTCGAACTTCATAAAATTTAATACCACAAAAGTTAATCATATAATCTTTGAATTAAGGGAAACTAAATGAAACTATGCAACTTGTTTCCAACAATGTCCTTCACATAAATAAAGCACTCGGCAGCTTGCTACTTATTCACATTCATTCTTTGCATTTATCGTAAAATCTGAGTAAGAACAGCATCACAAGACCATGGTGAGGTATCCCAGCTTAGCTCTAAGGGTACAAAATAAAATAATCTGAAAAACATATCCTACGAATAAAAAATAAATGCTAAATGTTAAGCAGAACATTTGTAAATGCAAATGACCTCAGTAGACAATATCTGCTTTATTAACACGCTGAAAAGTTACTTTAGGCCAATTATGCGCAACAGCAGTAAGAAAATGTAACTGTAGCACTGAGATTACACAGTGGGAAATATAATTTCTCAAGATATAGCAAACAATGGTCTCTGTTTCCTGGATCTTACTTATGCTAACCCTGGACCTTAATAGGAAATAGGTTTTCACTAGCTTATGACTTCTTGAATTGTAAATACTTTTGATAGAAAACTTTGGCTTCAGCTATAGCACCAAGAATATGAGAAGTGTAAAAGGTGCTAAAATAAAGTTTCACACTTTAGAAAAGGATTCTAAAGCTGGAGATAGGAATATCTAATGAATTAAACATGAGTCCTTTCTGAAGTTATCATAAATTTAAATGAATAGTATAGTTATCAGTGACATTTTATTCCTAGCTCACTTTTATTTAGATACTGCACATATAACAATGAAAACTATAAAATTTAAATTTCAGATCTACAGATTTAACTCTCTTTTAAATTTGTTTCAGCTTTTCCTCTTCAAATTGCAAGAGTCAAGAAGGTCAAGAACAAAAAGCCAAATTGGAAAATCCTTCTTTAAAGCTTCATCAATGTAATTTCTGTGTAAGGCAATACAGATGTGGAAAGAACACATGCTTCTGGCACTTGAAAAACTGAAGTACAGAATTCCTGCTGTAACTGACTGCTGAGGGAAAAAAATCAGCATGTATCAAAAAATAATCTATTTCAGAATATCTTAGAAAAATGAATCACAAAAGAAGAGTGTTTCATCTTTTTATTGAAATGTAGCTATACAATGAATAGCTACTATTATTATAATTTTGATTATTTTAACTCCCTAAAAACCATGGTAGATCTCTAAAGAGTAACAGCAATTCAGCTATAATTTCAATTTCTGGGCTGGGGATATTGTTCAGTGGCATAAGCGCCTGCCTGGCAAGCACAAGGTCATGAGTTCGATTCCCGGTAACATAAAAAAAAAAAAAAAAATCACATTTAATTTCAATTTCTTACACTGGCAATACTAAGCAGTATTAAAATAGCAATAACAATGAGCAGTAAGTGTGACTTAGAAAGCCTAATGTGATCACTACAGATTAGTAATTTTTCCAGAAATGTATGTATCTTTAAACTCACTTAACTTTAAGACTACTACTTGCATTACACTAAATATAAAATATTTTTATTTGGCAAGAACATACACATACACACAAAAACAACACAGCCTCAACCGAACCTCTTCATCGAATACCTGTCAATATCCTCTATCTTCTGCATGTTGAACAGAAGAGATGGAACAATCTTATCCATATGCTGGGGTTCCCAAATGGTAGCCCGAAGTTCATCATTAACTGTTTTGCGGACCACACCCTGAATACCTCTTATTCCAGCAATTCGTATTCTATGAGGAAAAATAAAATGAGCCATGAAAAAGTTATTTAAAACAGGTCTGTTTGCCTATCTGAGAGAACAGATACCAAGTAAATATTGTTACTGCAACAGAAAGGATCTTAAAATAATACACAAAGTCTATGAAATTAATATCTGAAAAATCTAGCATAATACAGAGATAGATCCAAAAATTACTTTGAATTTTATCTTTTTAATCATTTAAAGTTTAAAAGGAATGTTAAATACAGAAATATCTAATATATGTATTTTTTTTAATTACTAAAATCAAAAGCACAGGTTTTCCGAAGATGATCATGATAGTAACTCAAACTAGTATGAAGCACATTCTATTTTTTGGCTACAGGTCTCGAAACTGAGCGGAACCAGGACTCTCTGCTCCTGAACACCAGCCCTGTTTCTTCAGACTTCTCCAGTGTTTCTCCCTAAAAGGCCCTCTCTTCTTAGAAAGATAAACAGGGCCCCTTAGCTGTTAAAGTAAGAGACATTCTTTAAAGATCAACAAATAACTACTAAAACCAGACATCTTCAATAACACATGCAAGTCTGAGGAGATATGTGCATTATCAGATATATGTAACTTGAAACTTATCCATTTAGTGAGAGAATGCTGCTCTACCCTCAAATCCCAATTCACAGTCCTCAAATTCCTCAAGCTCTTATCCACTCTTAAAGGAAAAAAGTAGGAAGAAAGGAAAGGAAAAGAAAAATCCATAGGCTCAAGAATGAGAAAAATGACAAGGAAACAGCTTATAAAAGTGGCAGAACAAGGATAGCTTACTTGGTTCTCAAAACATATTTTTTTCTGGCCAAATTACCTTTTTGTATACTATTATTTACTTTTTTTCCCCTATTGTTATTCTCCTTTTTCCTATTACTTGCAATAGCCACCAATTTAATAAGATGTTTATTCATCTTACATAACACTGTCTTCCAAAAACTGTAAATAGGTTTAGAGAAGGGAAGATATGGGTGAAGGGGAAGGGACTGCTTTACAACTTTTAGGAATAAAGCAGGCATTGAAGAGCCGCTGATAGAGTTCACTCAGTTCTCACTGAACTGGTGAGAGTGAACTGAAAAACACAAAGACACAGTCTGCCTATTTCCAAGCTGTGTCTATACACGGTGCTTTCTAAAACACGGGAGACTCTTAGCAGCTATCCTAGGTGGGCAAGCCCAACATCACACAAAGGTGTTTGCTTTACCTACCTGCCACTACGTTTTTGGTGACAAGGTGGCCAAGCACATGGTGGCATAGAACCACATGAACGAACAAGATGACACATGTATCTTGCCTTATAAGCAGCCTAAGGGAGCAACAGCAGACAGCAGTACCCTTACTAGGGGTAAAGGGATGTACGATCATAAGGATTAGCAATGGCTCCATAGCTCCACAGTTGGCATCCACTCCAGATCTAGTAACTGGCCTACTTGCACATTCTAGCCATGACCTCCAAAGGAATCTCACAGTTTCCTCATCAATAAAATAGAGCATTTATTTGTCATGCCAACAGCATAGGAATGCTGTAAAGATTTAATTAGTTAATTCATATAAAGTTTTTAAATATATGGCCCACAATAAGCAATCAATAAGTGTTACACACCATTATGATGAGGATGATGATTTCTACAGGTGAAAGTTCATGAAAAATTACTGTCAGAACTTAAGGCTGTGAAGTATGAGTTAAAAAAGGGGACAATTCTGATACCATCAGCACTGCAAACTAAAGCACTGCAAACTAAAGTTTTTAGCTTCCAACTTTGCCCTTTTAAACATCAATGAAAATTATTAGATGAAAGTATGTTCAAAAGACATGACATTTCACTAGGGGGCGATAAATACCTAATAATAAGGTATTTGTGTTCTGTTACAAATTTTGAATTTCTTAAATCTGTGCTTTTGTTAAGGTTGTGGATATGAGAAAAATCTGTCCTTAATTTATATGTGAGAGAGTTTTTAAAAGCATCCTTAGATGTTTCTTTAGGAAGAAAAAAAGATAGCAGTGACTGAGATAAATAGGAAATTAATTATTAAAGCAATGATAGTATTTTTACCCCGAAAGCTTCACACTTCAAAATAAAGGAATAATAAGAGGAATATAAATAGCCCACATTATGCTGAGGAAAAATTATAACCTTATGAGAGCCACAAAGAATCATATCTGATGGATAACTAGTAAATCACCTATTTATGTCTCCATATTAAAATAAATCTTACTTATTTAATCCAATACTATAGCCACAGTGTAGCCTGTAAATTCCAGCTAAAAGCCAGTTAGATTTCCACATGTTCCCTTAGTTATTAGAAAAGTAAAAATCACAAAACATGCTAAATCTTGAATATTAACCACCCACAGTAACTCTCTGAATTCAGGCTGATTTATTTCTTTTTAGATGTATTAAGAGTTTAACACTAGGGGCTGGGGATTTAGCTCAGCGGCACAGCACCTGCCTGGCAAGTGCAAGGTTGTGAGTGTGATTCCTGGTACTAGAAAAACAACAACAACAAAAAAGAGTTTAACATTAAACTACTCTTCATATTTACCAACGTCATTTTGACTTCAATTTTTAATTCAAAGATTTCTAACTATATACAATATCAACCCATACGTACACTGTGTTATAGATAAGTATTCAATTCTACATTTTTTACTAGTACACATATAGAAGAAATGTTTAAAAATACCCAGTTAAGTTTTCACAAAAACTTCAGGCTGATGATGACTTGATAGTGTACCTTCATTCCATTTAATTAATCTCAACATTCAAAAAGTACTCATTACTATATGTGGAGCACTATGCTTAGTTATACAGCAGTCTTCAAAACAAGCCTTATCTTCCTTAAATTTATAATCCATTGAGAAGTGAGACACAAAGAAATATAAAAGTATAAAGATAACTATGAGTGGGATGGGAGGATTAATGTTTATACATACAGGGTGGCTGGGGAGAACTCTGTGGACAGGATGACATTTGAGGAGAAACATGAACAGATTGTGGAAAGAAGCCTCATGGGTATCTGGGAACTGTTCTAGGTAGATAAACCAATATTCGTTAGGAAAGTAAGGAAAAGTGTATCTCAAATGCTTAGGAGACAGCCAGGACATCCACATGACTGGACGAGAGCAGGAGAAAATGACAGAATGGCAGGCTCTGAGACAGGCAGCAGGAACACAAAGGGACATTCTAGCTACAGCAGAGTAAATTTTAATGAGTGAATTGGAAAAGCACGCTTATTTTACAATTTTCACCAGGTGTTATTCCTTCTACTGGCAATGGAAAACCTGTTTCACACAAACCCTCATTTTCTTTCATAATCATTATGTAATACATAAACTTAATATTCATGAATAAATTGTTATAAATCATAGATTAAAATAATACATACTCTGTTCGTATTTCTGGATCACTATGACAGGAATGACACATGGCACTGAATCGAGATACAAAAAAGTCGTAACGTCTGTGATAGGATGGTGTATCTTCTTCAATATTTGCAAACTTGACAAACTAAAAAACAAAAATAACAATGCAAACAATATATCTCAACTTTTTCAAAGTGTGGAACAAACTCATTTACTCTCATTATATGTTACACTAACAAGCAACATCCAAATAAAAGGAAATAAAATACATAAAAGTCTACATCCTGTATATAGTGACACAAAGGAACTTTTAAAATAATAAACTCTTAGACAATCAAGCATTACCAATATTAAATATAATCCAGTTCCCTTTGAGAGAGTGAGCCCAGACACTATGACAGGCCTTGCTCTAAAGCTCCCCTAAATTTCATGGATTCTGGCAATGTTTCCTTGTGTGATGAACATTAATCTACTCTATGGAGTATTATTTCTTAATTGTGGGTAGAAAATATTCCCAGACAGTACGACACATGAGTGAATACAAATTATACAAAAAAGATGGGACTGAAGGAAACATGACAAACTCAGAAAAAAATATTGAGATAATAAGAATTATACTGCTAGGGAGGCAGATGACAGATAGGAGGTGGAATAATTCTACCTCTTTAAAATAGTAACTGTAGAAAATTTTAAATACTCCACATGTGACACAGACCGGGCACCTACTACTTTTTAATATACACTCTCTTTACACCTTATTCAGCTTTCTCCTTTATTTCGTGACTTATTACTTCTGTATACTAAATAGCCAAAAGCAAGAAACTATTATTAGTTTCCTTGCAAATTTAAATATACATACACACCACACCTCCACCACTATACCTTCAAGGATACAGACTGATGGCTTTAAAAGGTCATTAATTGACCAAAGTATTACAATAATCAGAACTACTAATATCCTATTGGAAACAAAACTGAAATAAATGTGGAATAAATTTAAATTAATGATATGATATTAAAAAGATTTTAGATTAATTTGTCTAGGGCTAAGCCATTTTTCTTTCTATGACTTACACTATGTTGAAAAGGACCATTAATACTATACCAGGTTCAGATTAAACTCCTAGCATCACCTGTTCTGTACCTACACTGTGCTGAGTACTTTTACATGAGCTCTTACTTAATCATTCCAACAACCTGAAAAGATGACACTATCCCTGTTTATAGAGAGAACAGTGATATTTACATCACTTGTTCTTCGTGACACAGTAACTGAATGGTGAAAGTGGCAAGACAGTTTACATTGCAGGGTTTGAGTCCAGTTCTCAAAATTCCTATTCTACAGACCAACAATAGGAATAGTTTCACAAAATATTACACCGAACCTTTATACTTTTCATAAAAAATGAACCATGAGTGTTATGAGAAACGTGCAAAAAATTTAAGTGGGAAAAGGTCTACATATACAATATGCTCTCTATTTTCTAATAAAAGAAATGAAAGTACTAAAGGACTGCTTCTGAATTTTGGAAATATAGGTGACTTTGACTTCAGTTTATTCTTTTACATTTTTTAGGATTTTCTAAATTTGCTGCAATACATATTACTTTTAAAATTAGAAAAAATAAAACAAAAATAGACAACAAAATATTCAATGTTCTGGAGAACTTTTAAGAAGAATCTCATTATCTCTTTTAATTGAAAGTCACAAATAAAATTAAAACCTGAGTGATCATTTACAGAAGCAGTTCCTATTACACTTGAGCAAAAAAAAGAGAATTTAAAAATGGGCAGCTCTTCTCAGAGGAACAGCAAAAGGTGTATCTTCCTTCCTGATTTTTTTCCTTATTGGAAAAATTCTTCCAATTCCCCAAATTCTGAAAGCTCTTTAGCAAATCCAAAATCCGTAAGGACTGTGCTAGAATGTCAATAAAAACCAAAGCGTTATCACTGTAGATTTATCACATATAGGAACGCAGAAAAATGAGACATACTACCATGCAGACATTATGAAAAGACTGTCAGGTAGATCTGGATTTGGATTCTGGCCTTACTAATTAATTAGATGTGTGATCTGTGAAATGGAATTTGTCACTTAATGAGCTAGTGAGAGGTTCAAATAAGAACCAAATAAAAGTTAGCAAGGTTCCCTACATATAGTATACACATAATAAAAAAAAAATATGTCCTACAGTGGTACCTTGGTTCATAAACACAATTTGTTCTACAGTTTTGGAAAAACTGACCACAGTTGTGCTTGTCACCCAATGTAGATTTTGCAAACGAAAACAAAATTTTACCAAATGCTTAATTGTGAAACAAACTGTAAACGAAAGTGTTTGAGAACTGAGGCACCCCTGTATTCTTTTCCACCTAAAATTAGATATGTTTCAGAAGATACAACCAAGGCAGCAGCAATGCAATCCTTCACATGCAGGGTTTCTCACCATGAGGATTACTAAGACTTTAGGCCCGATAACACCTTTGTTATGGGCGCTATCCTGTGTACTGTAAAATGTATAGGAGCAACCTCAGCCTGCTAAACACCACAAGAACTCCAATTCCTACTAGACAAGTAAAAGATATCATCAGACATTGCCAAATATCCAGAGACAGGAGGCAGGGAAAGCTGCCCCTGGCTGAGAATCAGCGCTTCTACACAGTGCAGAGTTTCAGTGACTGGTCTCCAAAGACAACTGTCAACAATATTTAAATAAAATGGTTAAAAATTAGGAATGAGGCTTGTAAAAATTAAATGTGTGAAGGAACTGTAAGAGGGGGAGCAAAATAAAACAATCTAAGATCTCTCTCAGTCCTAATCTGCAAAAATTAGTGTATTTATATTGCCAGACTCAAGACTGAATCCCCCTACTATATAAAGCATCACTATATAATCATTATGTACTACTATTTGTAACACAAACTATTATAGGCTGAGCATCCCGTATTCACGCTGCTTGCAATCGAAGTGTTTGAGATTTCAAAGTTGTTCAGAATTTGGAATATTTGCATGGACTTTACCAGTTGATCATCTCTTATCTGAAAATCTAATCACAGTGTACAAAATATTTTAGATTTTTGGGCATTTCAGATTTCAGATTAAGAATGGTCAACCTGTATTTAATTATACTAACATTACTTAATATTTTTCTTTCATGAATAATTATATATTCAATCATATTATATTCAAGCATACAATAAAAAGAAGAGGTAAAAATAATATGCATTGTGCTAAGAGCTTCATATATATTAACTTGTGTCACAGAACCATCTTATAAATTTGGAACTATTCACAGATGAAAACCTGCAAGGAAAAAAAGTTAAAACAACTAGCCCAAGATACACAGCTAAAGAGTGGTGCAGGCACAATTCAAAGCAGGGCAGCTGGACTCTGGAATCATGCTGGCAGTGTAGTCTTCCTTTCCTCATACCAGAAAATAATCATCCATGAATGATAGTAGATGATATATGACTCTGTTGGTTGTTGATAAAAATGTGGATGGGAACAAACAATATTCATACAGATTGAATGTCTTAAAGCTTCCTCACAAGGACTAAAGCTTGTAAAGGAAAACTAAAGACAAGAAAGGAACATTATAATAACTGAGTTTTAATTTCTTTTTCAGGTATTCATGTATAGAAAACAGAAAAACCATTATCACTGTATTTTTTTCCCCTTTCCTTTTCATCAAACTTTACAGTATATGGTTCAAGATAGGAAAAATGAAATGTATTAAGTAGAAACAGTTTAGAAATACTCTAAGAAGGAAGGATAGAAACCAACTGATGAAGAAAAAAAAGTCTTTTCAACGAACAGTAACAAAGGGCTGGGCATGGTGGCGCACGTCTATAATCCCAGTATTCAGAAGGAGACGATCACTGTGTTTGAGACCAGCCTGAGCTATAAAGTGAGTTTAAGGCCAGTCTGAACTGCACAGAGAAATTCTGTCTCAAAAAGACAAAAACAAAAACAAAAAAATACAGTAACAAAACACCTGAATAACCACATGTGAAATGTGGATGAAGTTGGACCCCTAACTCATATTACATACAAAAAACCCTCAAAACAGATCTATACTATAAAACTCTTAGAAGAAATTACTATGATAAAGTTTTGTGATCCTGTGTTATGCAATGGTTTCTTAGATATGAGACTAAAGCATAAAACAAAAAAATGACAAAAGAAAAAACAGATCAACTGGATGTCATCAAAACTAAAGCCATTAGTGACTCAAAGCACACCATCAAGAAAGCAGACACATCACAGAAGTGGGGAAAATATATGAAAGTCATCTATCTAATAAAGGACCTGTATAAAGAATATGTAAAGAACATCCCCAGCTCTACAGTAAGAAGATAAAGCAATTTAGAATATCAAGTAAGTGACAGAAATGGTAAGTGTTAGGACACTAACAAAATACTCCACAGGAGATGCTGACATGACAAAGATCTCTCCCTGGTAACAATGGGCTGGTATTTGTGGCTGAGCTCTCTGGAACTTTCCCATTACTTTCAAATGCTATCACTCACTATACCTCCTAGGGAGTCAATTTCCTAAGCAACTTGAATAAATGAATACTTGGCAAACACTTGCTGAAATAAAGCAGGATAAAAGCCTAAATGGCCTTTAAAATCCTCAGCCAAGTATTACAAATAAAGGAAAACTAAAATTACTGTGATCTTTTCAACTTTTTTTTCTAAAGCATGACCTTTAAATTTTTCAATTTAAAAAATGAGCTAACAATTTGAATAAGTATGTCTCCAAAGAAGACATATAAATAGTCAGAGCTTTAAAAAAATCAATAGTTACCAAAGAAAGAAAACTCAAAACTACTATGACAAACTACTGCAAAGCTTTTAATATGATTATAATAAAAATGACAGACAATAACGTATGGGTGACAACATGAAGAATCTGGAACACCCATGCACTGACAGTGGGAATAGAAAATAATGCAACCACTTTGCAACAGCTTGAAACAGTTATCATGTTTTGGCAATTACACTCCTAAATATGTGCCCAACAGAGTGAAAAATGTATGTCTACACATACACTTCCATTTTTTTTGGTCTTTTTTGAGACAAGATCTCACTACGCAGTTCAGGCTGGCTTTGAGCTCACTTTGTAGCCCAGGCTGATCTTGAACTCCCAATGATCCTCCTGCCTAGGCCTCCCGGGTGCTGGGATTACAGGCATGCGCCACCATGCCCGGCTTACACATATACTTCTAAACAAATGTTCATAACGGTCAAAAAGTGAAAACAATCCTAATGTCCAGAAACTGATAAGTGGATAAATAAAAATGTAGTGTACCCATATAATGGAATACTAGTCAGTCATAAAAAAAAATGGAGCACTGATACAACACCGATGACATCTCAAAACGTGACCTTAGGTGGAAGAAGTCATGCACAATAGGGTATATAATAGATGATTCCATTTATATGAAATATCCAGAATAGGAAAATTGATTAAAGAGAAAAAGTAGATTAATGGTTTTCAGTAGTAGAAGAAAGAAATGGAAAAGTAATAGATATGCAAATCTATAAATATCAAAAAGAAATCACTGAGTTTTGTACTTTATAAGGGTAAAATGTGTAAAGTGTTAGTTTTCAAGGGCTTGAAGAAGGAAGAATAAAATTTAAAGTTAGTAGATGTGGCAGGCAACCTAGAGAAAATAAAAATGAGAGATAGGAATTCATTCACAGGAAGGACTGCATTATGACTGGTGATCAAAGACTTTTACAAAAAGAAACAGAAAACATTAAGCAAAGTATGCTAATCATTTTCATCTGTGTTAGTTGTCCAAATGCACTAAACCAGTAATTGGCATTTATCAAGTAAAAACATTCTAAGACATTAATTCTAGATATGCTAATTAAGCTTAATTTAATAAGAATCATTTCACTCACAGAATTTGTTCCAAGAACTTGAAGCTTTGGTTCCCCTGATTCCAGCAGCTTTGCCACCATATGAAGAAAACTTTCCACAAATGGCTTGATGCTTTGAGAGTGGCATGCCATGAGAAGTTGGTCCAGTGCCTCCATGGCAATCAGAACGTACCTAAATGTAAGAGAAAAGCAGCATCAAAGCGTTTCATGCTCTATTAATTCTCCAATGTGCTTTTCATTAGAATAATTAAAATAAATTTATTTAAATGCACAGAACATAGGCAAATTTAGTAGCTTCTAAGTAAAATCTTAATTCTCACACAATACAAATAATCTTGATAAATTATAAAATAATACACATATTGAAGTAAACAAAAGCTATTCCATTTTCTCCTTTGTAAAACAACTACTTCAGGGTTACTTCAGCATTATCGTTGTGTAATTCTTCTTTCTAATCATGGACATCACTCAGACTTTTAAATATATTTATTTGTGTCTGACCCAACATAATTATTAAGGCAATGTGACCAAAGCTCCACCATGATCTGTTTATATTTCTATATACAAGTTGGTAAAACAGTACCAGCAGCAACAGAATATAAGGAAAGTTTCATGAATTTTATTATATAAATTGATCATTTTAAATCTTGTATGTATTACAAAATTAAAATTCAGTCTTCAGATCACTTTGACTGAACTATAAAACTACCTGTGCCTTTAAACACTAAAATGGTCCATGTGATAACAACCTGTAGGCACAGAAAGCCAGTATATCACTTGGAAAATGAAAATGCTCAGAAACTACAATCATAAAATGACAATGGAGGAAAGTTATCCAAATCGCAAAGTTATTACTTCTCAAGCATAAAGAATGGGTTAAAATGGCAGACTGTTACCTACAGGTAACAGCAAAGATAGTGCAGCTTCTTATCAGTATGCTTGTATCTTGACCTAAAGCTGTTTTCATATTCCTCTGAGACATAAAACTGAACCTGTGCAAAAAGTCAGTTGTTTACCAGGATCTGTTTTCAATTCAGAGATCTATTTTTAAATTATAGTATCACACTTTTAAATTATAGTATCACACTTACAGATTTCTTTTTGTTGTCTTTTTGAGACAGGGTTTCAGGATGCAATTCAGGTTGACTTTGAACTCACTTTGTAGCCAAGGCTGAAGTGGCCTCGAACTTGAAGTGATCATCCTGCTTCCATTTCCCAAATGCTGGGATTACAGGTGTGCCGAGCTATAGTATCACACTTACAGACTTGAGAAAGCCTACTTCTACTATGTCCCATTAGAGGGAATCCAAAAATTAATAGATGCTGTTATGGTTTGTGTCTGTGTCCCCCGGCAAAGCCTCATGCGGTCATGGTGCAGGCTTTTAGAGTTTGATTGATTATGGGTGTGAGAGCTGCACCCGCCCTGGGGTGGATAGTTTGCATATGTAAGGGAAAGGAAAAGGGTGCTTGAGGCCATTCCGCCCTGGTGTGTGCTTGTTGCTTTTGCTGTGTTCTGTGCCAGGAGCTGTAGCCCTCTGCCATGTGCCACTCTGCCTTGTAATCTGCCAAGTATGGACTAAAACCCCCACAAACTGTAAGCGAAATAAACCTTTCCTTCCTTAATTTTGGGCATCAGGTATTTTGTCCCAGCAATGAGAGAAAAGTAACCAAGACAGATGCCAAAGCTAAGTATTTAACACTGTTAAATAACATGACAATATTCGCAAAACTTGATCACTAGGAAATATAAGCTGTGGCATTTATCCTGATTTTACATATTTCTTTTTATAATACTGTAATGTTTTACCTTCTACATATTGTTTTTTTTTTGTTTTTTTTTTTTTTTTTTTTTTGTTTTTCTCCGGTACCGGGAACCGAACTCACGACCTTGCGCTTGCCAGGCAGGCGCTTTTGCCGCTGAGCTAAATCCCCAGCCCCCTACATATTGTTTTTGTCTGCCTAGATGGCACAATAATTTATAGGAGGATTTAGGAAGAATTTTCCAAGTATACTAGATTAGCAACAATTAGTTTCCTTACCCAGAACGATGTCTGACAACATCCCTGCTCAGTCTTTCTGCCAAATAAGAACCTATTCGGTCCAGCTTCTCTGGAGCAGATACTGCATAAAATGTCAATTTTTCCATATCAGCTTTAACAAGGCCATCCTAAAATAATAACGAGGTAAATTAGATTATCTACATTTTTTAAGTGATGCCTTCTTTACATTTCCCCGTTTTAGATTGAGGCTTTATCCAAATTTATGTTGAAACTTTCTGAATATAACTTCCTTATGTTATTATTCACCACTATGGAAACAGACCTTTCAAAAAGTTAAAGAAATCCCCCATTTAGGAAAAGCATTTAAATGGTCTTTTACAAACAATGAAATCATACTCTAACACTTTCCTTTATAGAGAAATATCTCAACCACAGAATGTTGGAATGGAATAGATATTACTGAAAAGATTTCATACTGAATTTCCTTCAGTTTAAAATTTTTAATATATTAAGCCTATATTCTTTTACATATACAATAGTGAACATATTTTTTAAATGATTTAGAATTTGCTAATATTATTATAAAGTCTTGCTATAATTAATGGATAAGAAAGTATTCAGAACTGTATTCATCCACACTTAGGCAATGTATTTTTAAAAACAAGAGGAAAAACAACAGATCCCTGACCAAGGATTAGAAAAACACTATGTGTTCTAATGATGACACGCTACATGTCAGAAGCTGTGATAAGCACTAGAGAAGCAATAATCAGCAAAGAACTGTATTAACTGATTAGGTCCTCAATAGAAGTTTATGAGACAGCTACTATTTATTATTTCCATTACACAAGGAAATATGTGCCTGAGACCACACAGCTAGAAAGTAAAAGAAATCACTTATTTTTTCCCCTTCACTAGAATATTCTTTGAAGGCAGGAGCTATGACATGTATACTTCTATATCCAAGCACCTACTGCTAATCCATCTTGGACTGTAATATTTTTGTATTTATTTGTTTTAATAAATTTAATAGCAAATATGGCCCCAAAATAATGATTGCTATATGAGTGCATGGTTCATGAAAATATTTTTTAATTAATCTATTTTACATATTTCTATTTAAATAAATGTGATCTGAACCCCTGGAAAAATAAAGATTCTCTCCACAACAATTGTGCAATTTATCTGTCATCACTGCTATCAAGTGTTCAAAGCTCTCTCAACATCTACAAGTTAAAGTGCATAAAGTAGATGTCTTCTCGTCGTTCACACTCCTTCATCCTCTGCCCTCTACCTTACCTTTAGTAACTATATGTTCCAGACTTCCCAGGGAAATGTTGATTAGAATATTCAGTCTATTAACTGTCATTTCTGAAATTTCAAATCAGAAATCATGTTGAACAGTATCACCACCCAAGGACACTGCTGGTAGGCTACAGGAATCTAGGTAAGGACCACGTTGGTCATTACCTCAAACGTTATCTCTTGCTTTCCCATGCCTTTTCTTTCTTCTCCTCACTTGCAATGACAAGACTAATATTCTCTGCCTTTCCAGAGAATGTACATTCTCCAAAGCTCAGCAAACCTAATTTCCTCTAAGAATACTTTCCAGAGATTGCCAATCCACAGTGATACCTCCTTCCTTTAGAGGCAAAAATTTTATCACCGGATTATTTAGCATTTTACTTACTGATTTATCCATTATGATTTAATATTTAGTATGCCTTTGCTTTGTCCTAAAAGGCAGATACCACATCTTAGGGTTTTATAATATGCTCTAAATAATCTAGGCTCTGAAAAGCTGATTATTTAAATAGATTTGATTAAAAATGAGATAGGTGAGGCTGAGGGTATAGCTCAGCAATAGAACATTTGCCTAGCATATACAAAGACCTGGCTTTCCTTACTAGCACAGCAAGGGAGATAGGGAGAGAAACATGAATGTTAATATAAACAAAAGGATTCTTTATAATCGATTACTGGAAATTAAACTCATATCCAGCATTTTGCCTTCATATCCAATTAATGGAACACTAAAGGAGTTTGGCAAGTCTAAGGCAGTGTCAAACAAAATCACTCAAACCCAGTTGCTTTGATATTAGTCATCTTCTCAAAGGTATTTCAATTTTTTACAAAAAACTAAACAGAAAACAAACTGGAACAGTCCCCCTTTACCTCTTCTAATAACTGTGTGTCCAACTCTTAAGTACTCTTTGGGTCCCAGCTTAGATTTCATTTTCTTCAGGCCTTTATTCTCCTAAATCCAAATTAGATATCACTCCTATCTATTCTAGTAGCACTTTGTACTTCAGTTGTCTATCAACATTTTTTTCACACAGTAGCTTAATTGCTACTCTTATTTAGGAGTTTGGTGGGAGCAGAAACCCACATCTGATCACAGTTTATATCCTGAGCACACAGTGTAAATCATCTGGCACTGGTTCATACATTTTTGATGAGTGAATATTACTTAAATTAAGCACTACATAGATTACAAAGGAACATCATGCATGTATCATGCCAAATGTATGCCTAATCTACAAAAAGATCTGAAAACTAGACAAGCAAGTACCATCACATTTAAGTTTAAAAAGAAATATGAAAACAACTGTGTGTGGGACGTACGTGACGAGACACAGGGTAAAAGTAGAGAAATGAAATTAGGGAAACCTTAGAAAGGTCAGCAGGGGGGCAGAATGGGTCAGCAAAGAGAAGAATCAGTAGATGTAGGTCAAATTACTTTTGGATCCTCAGGGAAGATGTTGTCCACCAGGCGTTTGTAGCGAGGACGCAAAGCAGAACAGCAGCAACATACTCCTGCTTAAAAAAAAATACAAAAGGTATAAAAATTTATACTGTAAACTGACCCACAAATTCAAGTTTCCAAATAGTAATGGGCTATTGAAAAAACAAAATTCAAACTGTGATAAATAGAAGCAGCATGCAAATTTAGTGTTTATGAAATGAGGATGTTAAATTTCTTCTTCTCTCTCTACACACTCATTCAACAAATACTTGAATCCATATGCTAAGAAAATGCATTAAATGCCCCTTTTTGGTTTTAATAATTGAGGTTCCTTTTTTTTTTTTTTTTTTGTCTTTTTGAGGCAGGGTTTTGCTATGCAGTTCAGGCTAGCCTTGAGCTCACTTTGTAGCCCAGGCTGGTCTGGAACTTGCAGTGATCCTCTTGCCTCAGACTCCTGAGTACTGGGATTACGGGCATGTGCCACCATGCCTGGCAATAATTGAGTTTTAAATAGTAAATCTTTGTCATAGAGGGTGACCAGTAGATTACGAACAAAGGGCTGAATGGTGATCTATATCAAATCTGTCCTATTAAGCAAATACATGGTCCATATCCCTTAGTTCATTTCTGAGCTCATCCTCTACTCACATCCTGCCACATGCATGTCCCAACCTACTTCACAGCAAGCTAGGTTCCCTCCTTTGAATATTTCTTCCATTTCCTCTGCCTAGAACATACCCAAATCCCTATTAGACTAACTCTGTCACCTCCACCAATTCTTCACTTAAATTCTCTGACTACCCTTATCCTGCTCTGCTTTTTTCCCATAGCACATATCACCCCACATATTAAATGATTTTCATATTGTACTAGAAGAGGACTCAGCTGTAAGCAGCCTTTGCTACTATCTTATCAAGTAATGTTATACAAGAGACAATTTTCTCTAGATCTTGTGCTCTTTACAAATATGCATCATTCATTCATGCATTCATTTACCAAATGTCAGGTGAGTGCCCAGTACAGGCTAAAATAAAACTAGATCCAGATTTGCAATGGAGTGGAACAATAAACTAGGGATAAAAACAAATTAGGTTAAGATTTATACAGCATTTTTCCAGAATCATAAAATGTTGTGTTTATATTATTTAACATTTCTAGTGACCCAGTCTAATAGAAACAGGAATTACAGCAAAACTAATCAGGTAACTTACGAACAGGCAAATGAGAATCCTGTATCCGAAACTAAAACACTAAATTCAGCTCTTTCTGTACCATATTTATACAAGAAAGTATAAAAGGGACATGACCTCTGCACTTCAGTTTATAAACTGTTATAAGAACCAGTGAATAATTCAGCAACATACACTTAGGTACTGTACACTGATAATATAAAATGTTATCCATCTGTCTTACTTCTTTCTCACCGCTGAGTTAAAATACCTAACACCCAAGGTTAAAGGACGAAAGGTTTACTCAGCTCATAGTCTGTAGAGGTTTCAGTCCATAGTTGACTGGCACCAAGACCGGGTGACACATGACAGGGGGTAACAGCTCATGGTGGCAGAAGACAGCAAATATTAACAACCAAACCTTAATGGTGTCTTTCTGCCCCTTTTATACTCTATCCAGCCTGCTGGGATTAGGGCAGTACCAATCCAACAGTGCACTGATCCAGCAATCACCCACCCTTAGTCCCAGCATTGTACCACCAATTGATCACACACTCTAGATTCAGCCACCTCCGAAAAAGGCCCATCTAAAACTGCAAGAGGTTTGTGGGGACATGTAGACACACACCATAACATTCTGCCTCAGGCCCCTAAAGATTCATGCACATCCCTTTATGCAAAAGGCATTTAGTCCACCTCCAAGAGTTGCCAAAGTCCTAGCAGTTTCAGCATTGCTCAAAGGTCCAAATCCAAAGGGACCTTTGAGGTTTAAGGCAAATTCTTAGCTGTAAGAGTTTGTACAAATGAAAAGTTATACTTCCAACATTCAATAGCACAGGACAGACATTTCCACTGCAAAAGTTACAAAGAGAAAGATACAAAGGAATGGGACCAAAGCAAGCCCAAACTCCAGCAGGGCAAACATTAAGTCCTGTAGTTCCATATGCACCATCCGAGGTAACCTGTGGTAAAGTATGAAGGCCAAAGGGTTTGGGTAACTCTGCCCCTAAGGCACTTCCGCTGCAGCCCCCATGGCTTATTTATTGGGCCCACTCCACTCCCTCCTAGCAGTTTTCCTCAGATTATCTGCTTTCCTGATTTCTCAAAACTTCGGGTATCTCCAGTGAATCTTTGACTTCACACTCAGCTTCACACACTGCCCTCTCAAAGTCACTGCCTGACCTCCCAACTCTTTGCTTTCTGCATGTGCCTAACTAAAACCAGCACCATGTGGATGATGTCAAAGTCTGCTGGCAGCAGACAGGCTTCCTTCTCTCTGGACTGTAGAGGTCAAGTACGTGGATTGCTGAGCACTCCAAATCCAATTCTGAGGAATAAATTCTCTATGCTGCTGCCATTCTGGAACATGGTATATCTGCCGCCATTTTGGAACATGGTGCATTGGGGTTTTTTTCTCAAAGAAAAGTCTTTCACTTTGGCAATTCTGAGGCTGCTTTCAAAAGGTGGCATTGGTAGCCAGGCGTGGTGGCGCACGCCTGTAATCCCAGCACAAGGGAGGCTGAGGTAGGAGGGTCGTTGCGAGTTCGAGACCAGCCTAGGCTACTAAGTGAGCTCAAGGCCAGTTTGAACTGCACAGTGAGACCCTGTATCCAAAAAAAAAAAAAAAAAAAACAAAAAACACCAAAAGGTGGCACCCTACAGCTTCTTCTGATGCCCTCAGGCCATCTTTCCCATTTCCATTTCCTTCTCAGCAATCAAGACCTCTTCTGCTCTATTTTTGCAGTCCATAGTTCTACTGCAGCTTGCTGTCTGGTCAAGCTCACAACATTTTAAATCATTCTGCTCCTCTCTTTGCTCTTGATTCTCATCATAAATCTGGCTGAAAGTACCTAACAGCAGACATGCCACCACTTCAACATTCTATTGCCTTGAAATTTCTTCTGCCAGATTAGTTAGTCTGCCACCCTTAACTGCAGTCTCAGGCAAAATCTCTGGACAGGACAAAAATGCATACAAACTTTCTGTCAAGCCATACCACACACCATCTAGAGTCCAACAACCAATGCAGTCCTTCTTCACAGAAGAAATCTCTGGAACATGGTCTTTACTAGAAGGATTTCTATCAGTCTTCTGATCTTCTGAGCTCTGACCAGAATCTCCCATACAGAATATCCTAAGGCATTCCAGTGTTACTTTTTCAGCTGGCATCTCCAAATCTTTCCAAACTCTTCCCACAAGCCATTCCCAAAGGCTCCTGAACCACATGGTCAAGTATAGTTACAGCAACAACCCCACTTTTGGTACCAAATTCTGTCTTAGTTACTTTTGTCTTGCTGCTGAGACAAAATACCCAACACCCAAGGTTAAAGGAAAGAAGTTTACTTAGCTCACAGTTTGGAGTTTCAGTCCACAGTTGGCTGGTACCAAGACAGGCTGCCATGGCAAGGGGCAACAGCTCATGGTGGCAGAAGACAGCAAATATTAACAACCAAACCTTAATGGTGTCTTTCTGCCCCTTTTATACTCTATCCATCCTGCTGGGATTAGGGCAGTGCCACTCCAATCAGTGGACTGATCTAGCAATCACCCACCCTTAATCTCACATTATGCCTCCAATCACATGGGGGACATCTAGACACAAACCATAACACCACTGTGCAGAATGTTCACTAATAAAAGAAATAATTGCAAAGAACCCAAACTTTGCAAAGAATTACATTTCAGATTAACATCAAAATACTTGAATCCTTTTTAGACTCAAAAGCAAAACAAACGTTTGATTAGTTGTGGAGAACACAACCGAATAAGCAAAAATCATATTTGTGTCTATTATACCTGGTACAAAAATACCTCAGATAAAAATTATGTCTCATAGCTTAACATTGGTATTGAAATAAGTTAAAATCAAGTATGTGCCTAACAATTCTCATGCAGGTACTATAATGAGTTTATAAGCTTATAGTCTGATAAGAAGATTAAGGCGAATACTTTGGTAACACTAATGCAAGGCCAAATATAGTAAATTAGAGCTGTTGTCATGGCAAAAGAGATATACAACTGAAAAACAAGTTGTAATACTTCGTGTTTCCTATCAGAATGGTAATTTTTTTTCATTTTCAATGAAAATAGTCTTTTTTTTTTTCCCGGTACCAGGAATCGAACTCATGACCTTGCGCTTGCCAGGCAGGCGCTGTGCCGCTGAGCTAAATCCCCAGCCCCTCAATGAAAATAGTCTTAATAAACCATTAAGTTTCACTTACTTTGACACCTTCTGATATAACTATACATTATACATTTCTTTTAGTTTAAAGGAGCTTGAGATATAAATGTGAACTTCAATGCCAAGAACATCCCCAGCTCCTGCTTCTAGGAAGCTTAGGTTTCCCGGGGGAAAACAATGAACTTTTGGCAAAGTATTCATCCAACAGGCAGTAGGGTGCTACAGAGAGTGGACTTAGCAGTCAAGACAGATGTGGGGTGAATAAAAAGCCCTCACTGTTCAGCTATATGTGCAGGTGACTTTGTTCTATCGCACTTAATTTCCTTATCAATGTAATAATACTTTCTCCATGATCACTGCAAAAAATAAAACAATATATAAAGTTCCCATTAAATAAGCATCCAGGAAAATGGTAGCAATTATTAGCAATGAAGTAAAAGTATTATTACAATCAACATAAGTAGAAAGAGATGGAGGGTTCTTTAGAGAGTATTCCCAACATTGTGGAAACCTTTGCTGGAAATTAATTATTAAAGCCTGTAATAAGTTTCATATAAGGTTCACAACAGCTTTCAATAATAATACCAGCAGGAGTAACATGTTCTGACATGTTTGCATGTGTGTGGCCCTATCCTAAGGACTCTACATTACTCTTCTATTCCTGTAGCAATTCTCTGAGGTGGTTATCAACATCTTTATTTGATTAAACAGGAAACAGAGG